AGGAACAATGGTGGCATTAATCTCTGCTGTTGGTGTAATGCCTCTCTTAATATCTGAAGTTGGTGTTGTTCTCTGAGTAGCTTGTTTTGTCTCAACTGGTGTCTTACTTTGAGGTAATGTACTACCAATAGCAGTTAATCCAGCCGTGTCATACACTGGTGGCATCCTGGAATTCTCGTAAAATGATGTGCTTGCAGTGTACATCCTAATTTGAGGGACATCAAACATGGGTTTGGGTGATTTTGAGGGTTCAGTTGCTTTAAATGTTGGACGTGGACTTCTGGGTTTGACCAGTGTTGTCAACACAGTGAGAGGTCTAATCACTGGCTGACCCCCAGCTATTGTAAATGGAGTTGGACCTGGACTCCGAGGTTTTGAAGGTGCGGTTGCTACAGCTGTGGTAGGTATGAGACCAGCATGGGTTTCAACTAATGTGCTAAAAGCTGGCTTGTCCAATTCAGCAGCAGATACTGTCACCTCAGAAGCCAACAGCAGCACTTTGGGTGGCCCTGGCTGAGTGACTTGCCCCAGGGCTGCTGAGACTCCTTCAGGGTAAACTGGGTAAGAAACTGTGGTGACACGTTGAGAGTAAGAGTATGAAGGCATTGCCACTGTTGGAGGTGACATCCTAGCTCCTCTGCCATAAGCTGCACGCTGTGGGTATGGCGATGCCACATGCTGATACGGAAGCCTGATGGTGAACCTTGGTGGCTGTTGGTTCCTGTAGATGCTCTGTGGTGTGTCTGGAGTGCGAGGTGGGGTGGAGTGGTCACTGTGCTCGAGGTCAGGGCTTGCTTCATTTACAGGGGAGAGGCTGGAGCGGAAAGGTGCGGTAGACTGTGATGCTTGAGCAGAAGCTTTTTTCTTGGCAGTCCTTTTGAGGAGTTTCTGAAGCCGAACGTTGTCCTTTCCAGGCTTGGGAAGCAGGGGTGGGGGGTACTGCTGGGAAAGCAGGCCTGGCTGGGTGACACTACCATAAGCGACAGCCATGAGTGCTTCAGCACCCTAAGGAGAAAAAAGTCACAAGCTGTCAAAAACTAACAAAGATTACAGCTCTGGACCTGTACACTACCAAACTGGTCCAGATGCCAATAAATAAATAATATTATAATGATGGTTGGTTCCTCGTCTTTAGTTCTGACTGTAAGTCAATCATTGATTTAAATTCTGTCTTTAACATTGGTCATTGAGCTTTTTCTTTCAGAAATGTAACCAGACTCACAGCATTTTATCTTAACTTAACTTAAATTAATGAAGGATTTAGTAAGTTGGTCCTGAAAATGTTTCCGAAAATTGCGCAAATGGAAGTTTGACTGTTTTGCAACAATTTTCTTGTTGTTTTTTGCAGATTTGTGTCACAGTGATTACTGAAATGGCGTTGCTCTTCAAGTGGTCTCCATCTTGATCTCTCAACAATGTGCTGACGATACAGACATCTAACACAAGTAACCAGAACCAGAAAAACGTTGTTAATACCTACAGCGAAACTGCTAAATAGAGGTTTCTCAAGATTGTGGAGGTTGTACAATTATACAAGAAAGCATCAGCTCAAGCCCAAAACCATTTGATCATTTAATGTTTATATTTAACCGATTTTCTCTTTCTTTCCATGTTTTCTTGCATTGCATTTCTAGTATTGTGTATATATCTGACTGTAAACTTTGCTATTTGTTTTTCTTCTCCTCTGCAGTTTTTGGTAAATCATAATTCAAGTCTAGTTGATCACTGTATGGTGATGTTTTGTGAAATATTAAATGTATGGGGGAGGGGTCCTATAGAAATCCTCTACATTTTAGAAATTGCATAGAAGTGTTGGTTCACCCTTTGACATGTTACATGTTCTGAACTTAAACCTTTGCTAAAGAACAATCTTGAAAAGAAGCTGGACTTGGGAGAGATTTGAAACACAGCTGACGTTTGCTATCTTAATATCACATTTACTGCCTCAGTATACACTTCTTCACAAAACCACTAGATGTCTACATAATCTGTTCCGCTGTTTAACTTTGATTACAATGCAGCAGCCTGTTCTGCTTGCAAGAAGATAAAGGAGGGCAGTTAAAGTTGATGTGTATGGGACTGATGCTGCAATTTGGAAGGCTAATAACATCCAAACTAAATGACATTTTTCACCTTTAATGTCCTGCAATGTTTACCTGTATGTGTTTTTAAGTCATTTTCTTGATTAAATTAAAATCTTTCTTTTTTTACTTGAGCTGTGTCTTCACTTTAGCTTAGTTTGCTGTTTATTGCAGTTAAAACTATCACCTGAGACCGTGAATTCATCTGGAAAGTGTTTAGTAAGAATGCAAATGTGACTCTTTTTGCAACCACAGCAGTCACCCTCCGTTAGCCTTCTGAACAAATATGTAGTATTCAGTTTTTAATTGTACTTTATTTTTCAGACTTGGAAGCTTCTCCAACTTTCCTCAGTAAAGTCTATAATTAGTAATAACACTACCATAGAATTGGTTCACGTCCCACTTATGCCAAACTCAACACGGCTATAATGCAGGGGAGGGACTATCTGTTTCCAGTTTTGGTAGAAATGGAATCCATGGGATGAGCAACCAGTTGGACAGGCAGCAGTATACTGATCCATTACTTATTACCACAAATATATTATCATTATTATTTACATTTTTCATTAAAGGCAATGAACAGCAAAAAATAACCCCTTTAACCAGAGGGCTAGCATGCTTTTACTAGCCACTAACCAGGCACCTATAGTGTATGATATTGGGTTACTATAGACTACTAAGGTTTCAGTCTGTTTCAGAAATATTTTATTCCCAATTTTAGCAATACAAAGGTATTCCATTGGAGACGATGGAAAAGATGTGCATTCTTAGCATATGAACAAGGCGTTAGTCTGGCAAGAGTTAAAATACATCAACTTCTCTCAAAAAGTTTTTCCTGTGCCTCAAACACTGATGTCCTGATGGAAGACTGATATTGGCAATTCAGGCTGAAACACCCACCCGAAGAATCAAGCTGAACTCCTCCTGCTCTATGATACCCCTTCACAGCTGATGCTGGAAGCCTGTTTCACAGCCTAATTTTAGTTTGAAGGCAAAGCGGACGCTGGCCAATCACCTGCTTTCTTTTTTTAAGACTCCTGGTTTTTTACAGGCCGCATCACTTTCCTAAAAACAATAAATCAGAGAGCTGTGATGCAGATTCTCAGATGGAGTCTCTGCAGGACCAGCTGCCTTAAAGCCATCAGATACAAACTTGGTGTAACAGGAGAAGTGAGTAAGATGAATGTATATAAATGCAAGCTATATTTCTCCATTGACTGCAGCCGCGTCGTCTATTCTTAGCAAACTTACTGACTTACACAGAAATCTTTTCACAAAATTATATCTTTGTCTTAAAGAATTGTCACTTTAGTATTTTTTAGTATTTAGTATCTTTAGTATAAGTATTATCAACAGAAAGTCAAAGAAACGGGAAGAAACTGTCAATTTGTGACCTTAAAATGTTATAACTGAATCTGTAGATTCCCAATAGACAATACATTATTTACAGTTTGCTATACATCGATATCAGAGCTAATAATGTCAAGTTTATTATGGCTTTCATTCTACATGTTCAAGATTTAAGGTTATAAAATGTGGGGAGTTGCAATATGATAATGTGTATTAGTTTTAATTCACCTCACGTTTAGTTATGTAGTGCCAAATTACAACAACAGCCACATAAATGGGCTTAATACTGTAAGGTTAAGACGCTACAGAGAAAACCCCAAGAATCAAATAACCCCCTATGAGCAAACACGTAGTGAGAAGGAAAAACTCCCTTTTAAAAGGAAAAAACCTCCAGCAGAACCAGTCTCAGGGATGGGCAACCATCTGCCACGACCAGTTGGGGGGTGGAAGTGAAAGAGGATGAACCAAATAATGAGGTGGCAAGGACAAAACACAGACCAAGGGTGATGAAGACGATTGACATGCTTAAGTGAGATATAAACATGGGGACTGAAAAGAGGTGAGTGCAAAAGAAAAGCTTACAGTGAATCACATGACGTATCGCAGCGGTCTGAACAAAAGCTGAAAGGTAAACTGGGAGCTGGTTGCTGAAGGCTTTTCCTCCCATTCTACTCTCAGACACTCAAGAAACCTCAAAGAGCTCGGTTAGGATACTATGGTACTAGAAGGTCTTTAAGATCAGGTGGGACTGATTATTGAGGATTTTGTATTTGAGTAAAAGAATTTTAAAAGAATTTTAAATTCAATTGTTCAGCCACTAAAGAGAAGCCAATGTGGGAGAAATGTGATCCCTATTTTTAGCCCCTGTTTTTCAGCAATACTCAGACAAGATGTTTCTAATTTTATAGATACGCCAAAGAAAGAAAGAAAGCAGACCTACATATTAGCTGAATATGTGCACTCAAGGAGATATCCTGATCAAAAATTGCTCCCAGGTTCCATAGTGTTGCCGAAGACTAAGGTAATACCGTCCAGTGTATTTGGACAACATGTTTCTGTGATTTTTGTTTTTTAGATTTTTAAGAACTATTTTGTCTGAATATAGGAAAAGTTATTACATCCAGGCCTTTATTTTATTGCAGTCTAACTAATTGACTTGTGTCATATAGCTTCATGCATAGATATTTCTTGGTAATAGTGATGCTAGAGAACAGGTCCTGTACATTCTCCAATGTCAAAACCAGTAGAATCAATAAATGGCTGATTTTTGGGTATCTCCCTATTATTTAGTGAGATGATTTACTTTGCACTTAACAAACTAGACTTTTCTTTCTTTCTTTAAATGTAAGAATTTAACATATTTACCTTGTGTTGGTGTTATTATTTTGGAAAAAAAAAAAAAAGGGTTATATTTGCTTTCCCAGTCAGGCCACAAATCATAGTTTGATATTTAATACCAGACAGAAATGGAGGGCAGCTCCATCACATATCCTCTCATGTCTCGCCCCACATAAATAAAAGCACACATATAGACATGTATGTGCAGTTCTGCTGAAGGGTGAAAGTAAATGCAAAGCATCTGACCTTATGACATCACAGCTCCCAATCACCAGATAGGGCCTGGGAAATATGTTGTCACTGAGAATGTCCAATCACATGACAGCACCACTTAACAGAAATGGATCATGAACCTCAGACTAGGAGATATATTTTCTAATGGACTGTTCTGTAGTTATTTTTTAATTAATGGAAAATGAGACGGCAGAGTCGAGGTCAGCTTAAAATGAGATGCAGAAATGTTTTTGATGAGAAGTAACAAGAAGGTTCGTGTTACAAATAAAGCAACGCTGACATCATGAAGTCTGCAAAAACGAGTGTTTGATATCCTCAGTTTACTATGTGTGTCACCTCGGTGAAATGTAGGCCAGTGCTGGTTGTGTTTTAGACCTCCCACCCACCCTTGCACGCACACATCTCCCTGTCTGAACCTGCTGCCTGCCTGACACATGAGATGCTCACTGCTCCTTTTAAGGCTTTGGTAGTTTTGGTATTTGGAGTGCCTTCAGGATGCTAGTTCAAAAGAGGAAAGAGTAATAATAGCTGTGTAATAAAGGCCAAGCTGCTCCACAATGCCCTGCTTAAGCAAATGAATCCACTCCAAAAAGTCATTAACCTGAAGTTATGACGATCAATCACAGCAAACTGGTTTTTTTGATGAAAAATGGGAGAGCTTACCAGGTAAAAACTTGTTGCTGATGTTCAAAAGCACTCCAGGCAGGTTCCCCTTAACAGAACAGAGCACAGGTTCAAGCTCATTGTAAAACAGTGAACAGCTTTATTCTCAAGAACTACACAAAAGAAGATAGGAGTACAGTCAATCTCATTGACCTCATTGCAGAAGAGGACAAATAACCGAGAGGACAGAGTGTGTTTTTGAAGCCAAAACAGTGCGTGATTAGCACCTAGCTCATCAATGCTGGTGCTTTAATGTTGCACTGAGGACAAGAAAAAGCACCCTGAGCTCCCCAATCACATCCGACACCTTGGTGCTGAGTTGGGGGGGTGATTCTGCCTCACTAACCCTGCGAACAGTGTCCCCATGCTCTATCTGGAGAACAAAAGGCGTAATTATGGTGTGTTTACCTGTGCGACTGCTGCTTGGGGGGCGGCCGGCCGGCTGCTGCCTGCTTGTCCCAGCCCGGAGTGTCAGAGCGGCAGGTTCATGTTGAGCCCAACTCGACCCCCCTTCTGCAAATGGAAGGAACAGGCGCCATGACAATCCAAAAATAAATCCTGAGCCCTGCGAGCTGCTCAGTGACAGCAGCGTAGTTGTGACAGCAAGGCGAGCTGAGGCGAGATGCATCACTGACAGGCCACGGCACCTTAGGTTTCACCACCTCAGGGCTCTAAAACTGGGGTGTGAGGGCCTCCCAGGGGTCCTTCAGGGGTGCACCAAAGGTCCAACAGAGGGTTGTGAAGTGTGCTCCTAAGAATAACAAATGCTTAACTTTCTATCAGTCTATTAGCATCCTTGTTGCTTCAAGGGTCCTTATTCATGGGACTTTGAATTTTTTGACTTCTTTGAACTGTGTATGATGAAACGAAATCTAAAAATCAGACCTCATTTTAATTTTCTAGTCAGAAAAAAGAAGTCTCCCAGTGGCTAACCTTAAAGGTTGGCCTTCAAACAGGTTTGATTTAAGCATCCTCTCAGCGCTGTTATCACTCGTCACCACTCTCTGGTCCTGGGTTTTGCGTTGCTTTTTGTTTTTGGTTTCTATTTGGTTTCACTGCTAGTGCTTTTGATGTGTACAATGATGTGAAAAAGTCTTTGCCCCCTCCCAGATTTCCTATTTTTTTGTATGTTTGTCATACTTAAATGCTTCAGATCATGAAATTAATTTAAATATTAGATAAAGATAACACAAGTCAACTCAAAATACAGTTTTTAAACAAAGGTGTTTATTATTAACGGAAGGATAATCCAAATCTGCA